CCCGGCCCGGCACGGCACGGCCCGGCACGGCCCGGGCCCTCTCGGGGCAGAGCTCCTCGCCCGCCGCCTTTGGAAGCCATTTGGCGTCCTCTGGGGCTCCCACATCTGGAGTTCTTCTTTCGCACTTCTGGCAAGAGCCGCTTGGTTCCCTGTTTTGCAGGGTATTTTTTTTGTTTTTTTTTTTTAATCGGCGTTCAGGAAGGCAGCGTCCTTCTCCTGCAGCTCCCGCCCGGGGGCTGCCCTGCCCAGCACCTCCTGGGGCACCGCGTGCTCCTCGCGTCCTTCCCTTTTCTGTCTCTTCCTTACCCCTCTTCCCGCGGTGCTGCTGGTTCAGAAGGGTGGTGCAGGGGTGCCCTTGCCTCCTCCCCTGCGCCGAGTACAGCCTGGTGGGGTCTGGATGACCAGGTGCTGAGTTCTGTGGGGAGCTCCGTATCTCAGACATCTGCCCACTGTTGAAGCTGGAGCTATAATGAATGTGGGGTTCACCTCCATTTTTAGGTCTCGGACAAGTTTCTTGGGTCCTTCATCAATCTGAGAAGCCAGATTGATGAATGCTTGCAGTGGCAGCTCTCTGAGAACCCCATGAAGATGACTGCCAGAGAGTGCCCCTGCTTCCTGTGCCCTGCGCGCCTTCTCCCAGACCTCAACATCTAAGGAAACACCAAGGGTTTTTCTGAATGTGACTTGACTTCCTTGTGTTAATCCCTGACACAGCAGCTCGTAACCTAAGGATAGGACTCCAAACACTGCTCCTGCCCCTCGTTCCTGGGTCTGGTCTCCTGGGCCTGCCCTTTGTCCCCAGACCCTTCTGACAGTGCACACAGGGCCATCCCTTGCCCAACTGAGTGTTTGCTGTGACCTGTGGTCCCTGAAGATTGAGGTAGGGGTGTCGCACAGACCCGCTGCCACGTCCCTTTGTACTTTCTAGGGTGCTGTCCTGGCCCCTGAGCGGGAGGGCAGGGACCCTGGTCCCAGGCCAATGGCTCCTCCACCTGTGTCTGCATTGGCCCAGGTTGGGTTTTAGGAGGGCTCCATTCCTTTTAGGAAACGAACTTGTTTTGACCCAGCCTGGACTCCCTTATAGCTGTTTGAAAAGAATTGGCAACAGTGCATTGGCCATCTGGTTCCAAACCTCTTTGCCTCTCAGTCTTCTCCTCCTTCAGGGCCTTCTTGATGTGTTTTGCTCCATTTTGCCCTGGGGGTGGGGGGTGTACAACTGTTGCATTCAGTTCTGTAGAAAAGGAAATCCATCACCCAGGAAGGTGAATGAATTCATGAGCTCCAGGTGACACCAGCAGCTGTAGGAATAGCCTCTCTGGCGCAGGAGAGTGGTAAGACTGTTTCTTATTCTTCAGGTCTCCAAATATCTCACACAACAGGGGTTCAGGATTGTATCATTCTTTAGTTGGGCAGAGTTTGGGTAGACCCAAATCTTACTCGGTGTCTACCTAAGAGGTTGTGCACCAAAAGCACAAGGTTGGGGTGTGTGAGCTCATTATCTGCAGAGGAACTTTATTACTTCCTCTTGCTCCAGCTCATCTCTCCACGTTAAAGCCCCTGTGCTGGATATGGAATTACTGAGCTGTATTTTCCTGCCAGCCGGATGCCGCCCTGTCCCCACTCCTGAGCACGCTAGCTGTGGGTGGAGGCGAGCGCTCGTGTCCCTAACTACAGAAGGCAGGTGCTTTTATGACGTTACTGTTCTGAGCAGTCTTTTTTAGGCAGGCTTTAGAGAAGCTGTGTCAATCCCCAGCCATGCAATAAAGAGACAGAGCACAGCCTGGGCAAGGCAAGCGTAGTGCCTCTAAGATGAGGGTCAGAGACAGGAAGATAATGTGGCTTCCAGTCCTCCACCCCACCTTTGGAGGGGGTTCCCTGCCAACCCGAGACACAGCTTTAATCCTAGGTTTGCTGAACCTGCGATTTGACACCTTGAAAGACAGAGGCATGAATATTGGAAACAGCTTTGGTGTTCCTTGATGTGTGTAACAATAATGGAGCTGGAGAGTGCATGCAGAGCGAGACGTCGCTCTCTTCTGACAATAAGCTCCTTCAGAAACTTCTAGGTAGGTGGGAACTAAATAGAGCAAAGCACTACCTCGTGATGCAGAGGGTGACCTCATGCAGTGTGGTGGAAGAACTCCAGCTCCCATCCGTCCTTATCAGTGCTGGCTGCCTAGGGTTTTCAAAGAATTAGGCACAGCATATGGTGCCTGTGGATCTGAGCATGTTACAGAGTTTATTAAACTCAGAAAGGGACCTTGCAAGGACTAGTTTGCACCACTCCCCTCTTGTGTAGAGACTGGACCCATCTTACTTGATTCTTGTTCTGCCCTGCTATCCCCATCTTTGCATTTCCCCAGCAGGTGAGTAGTTCTAGGAGAGGGAATATCTTACTTTTATTCCACAATATGACTTATAAAAATGCTCATATGAAGAGAAAACAATTGTTAAATAAGTTTCCTGCCTCCTGAATTGAATGTCAGGAGTTAGAAGTGTAGAGAGACCTGTCATACGCCGTGCTGACCTAACTGTAACAGTGATAGCTGCAGTGAGGATAAACAAGGTGAGAACAAGCCTTCCTCATCACCTCTTTGACAGGCCAGGGTAAATGGAAGCCAGGGGTCACCAGAATGGGATTTAGTCTTTTCTCATTATTTAGTGTCAGACACACCAGTAACAGGGTCATATTATAAATGGTGGGAGATTTTCGTACTTTCCGGCGAGGGAGGGGCCATCGTTGTAAGAGATCAACTGCTAGGCAGGTGAAGGATGGATGGGGCGGTAGGTTGTGTTAGCATATTAAAGTCAATGACTCGAGCTTTCTGTGGGAGAAAAGGAGACTTGTGCAGAGGAGGTTCATCGGATAGGTGGATCCCAGGGGTTTGGACCCTTTTTTTGGGTTGCTGGTGCTGAGTGATGGTTGTGTGGCTGTCATGTTGGCTGGTTCTGATCCAAGCGTCTGGTGAAAATGAAAGCTGAGGTTTGGCCATCTCCCTTTTTTCTTTCCCTTTTGCTGTAGACATTGTTCGCAGCGACATTGCCCTGGATAAGCAGAAAGGCTGTAAGATCGCCCAGCATCCTGACATAATGTTGGAGCTACAGAGGGAAAAGGCAGCTCAGATGCACTTGGTTTTGTTAAAGGAGCAGTTTTCAAACACATACAGCAACCTCACATTAACAGGTAAGGCTGCAAGACCAGCTCCGGAGCCAGGAGCTGGGGCTAGTTCTTGCTAACTCACAGGTGTGTTAAAACCCTCGGGTGCTTCACCTCTGTATCAATCAGCATCTCTCTGGCTGCCTCTGTTTCCTACCAAGGTTACTGGGTGCTGGGAGGGAAAGGACTTGCAGGAACTCGTGGTGGACTCGTAAGGCCTCTGCGGCTGGCACCTACACAGACACTCCAGATTTGGTGCCCCTGGACAGAACGTTTTCTGCAGGCTGACCTAAGCAGAATACCACGGCACGTGAAGTGCTGGAGAAATCTCCCTGCTAACTGTTCACGTCGATGGGGCTGCAGCAATTACTAAATTTGGAGTCCTTTAAGCTGCAGCTGATTTTTTTTTCTTTCCAGAGCATGCACTTTGTGTGAACCCAGTAAATATTAAAGAGCAAATATAAAGGGATAATGGCCCAGACAGAGATGAGAGGATACTCTTTTTCTGGCAACTGTTTGTATTATCCAGGGAACAGAATCTCAAAGGATGGAGGAGACTGCCACATTTTGGATACACATTTAATGGTGCTTGTAAAGGACTGATGTCTTCAGGCAGTGAGCGGGCAGAAGGATGGGATCCCAGCAGCCAGCAGTCTCCTTTCATAGCTGTTCTCCTTATCACTACAGCTGGATGAGCCACAGACGATGGGAAGGAGGAAGAGACTAATAAATCAAACAAGATCCCCTTCTCCTCTTGCCGGGTCCCTTTCCTGTGAAAGGCAGGGAGGCATCTGATTTTTATGGGAGGGAGGGCCCTGTGCTCTGACTGGGGAGGAGATGGCAAGCCCTGTGGTGGCCTTCCCTGGCTGTGGGGCTGGGAGAGGCAGGGGGGTCCTGCGTAACCTGCCC